TCTGTCTCTCTGTCTTCTCTGTCCATCTCTGTCTTTCTAGCAAGACACCTTATAGCAAAATCCTCTTAAAAAATTATAAAAAAAACTAAATTCTATTAAAAAATAAGTAAATAACAGTAAAATAAGTAATCAAACAGGAAAAAAGACTGGAGAATGACAGGGCATAGATAGCTTAGCTGTATAAATATCCCGTATAGAATTCAAGTTGTTACTTATAGATAATTAAACATTGACTTCTAGAAGTGTTTTATGATAGTGGTGATAATAGTGGCAGTAATAATAGTTACCCTTTATTGAGCATATACTATGTGCCAAGGCACTGTGCTAAGCATATTACATACATTATCACATTTGCTATAAATAGATTCTTAAAAGAGAAGCTGGGGTATATTGTTCATAACACTGTTTCCTACAAAAATGACTCAGATCCAATGTACATCTTCTGTGTAAGTTTTATCCAGAAGTTTCCTGACTTTCATCAGAAAGGTCAATGACTGACATTATTGGGTGAATTAGAAATTTTCTTGAGAGCTGGCCCAGTAGCCTAGTGGTTAAGGGACCCATGTAGCTGACTGTGGTTTGAGGCTTGAAAAACATGTCAGGTGCATGCCTGCCCCAATCCCAATGGGATAGAGAACTGGAGGAGGAGAGATTGTGGCATGACCATGTCCCATTGGGGAGTGCTTTTTGCCCCTTTCCCTCTCTCTGTCTCTTTCCGGCAAGCATGTGCATCCTCTAACGATTTTTTACAAAAGGAAAAAAAAATGTTTTGCAATATCAACCCTAGAACTTGCTCACTGATAGGCCAACTTGAGTTACTGGATTGGTAGTTCACAGCTACCCGACACCTCCTTCTGTTTTTTAAGTTTATTTGCTCTTCCGTGAGAGCAAAAGACATTAAAAGAGAGGTTCCTCAACAGGGTCCTCATGTCACAATCCACCCCTTGTCTCAACCAGCCTAAATTGTGGGCATGTGCACATCTGGCATGTAGAGGAAGGCCCAGGATGTGATCCTCGGACCTTCCCATGTGGGTCTAGTTGCGTTCCCACAGCACTACCACCCAAACCTCTACCTTCCTTCTTTTTATTTTATTTTATTTTATTTTATTTTTTTTGAATTACAGTATGAGTTTATTTTGGCACAAAGTTTTTTTTTTTAAAACCCATGAATAGTGTTTTCATTTTTTTGTTTAATCTGGAGGATCCTAAGAAATAGTCTTTATTTCTAATAACTTACTTAAGAAATTAAGAATCAAATATCTATTCTACCCTTCTTGAATGAATTCCCTCTCTAGATCACCAGTTGGTTGACAGAGGGAAGTTTTTCTTCTTGTAAGAATTCTTGGTTCTAAGTAAAGAAAGAAGGTTAAAAACATAATATCAGCTTTTACCCATCCTCTATGTAGGAATTGAACCAGGCTCAGAGTTGATGAATATCTGGGTATGTCTGTCCCAAAGTTAATAGAAGTAGTATGAATAACCTGCTCTTTTCCTATATATACCACCCAAGTCGATAGTTTTCCACAGCTCAAACTTTTTTTGGAGAGGTTTTTGCTATAGGGTGTGTGCGCTCGCCAGAAAGACAGAGAGAGACAGAGAGACAGGTTTTTGCTATAGGGTTCGTGCGCTCGCCAGAAAGAGAGAGACAGATTTTTGCTATAGGGTGCGTGCGCTCGCCAGACAGACAGACAGAGACAGAGAGATAGAAGGCGAGAAATCACCCCCCAGGGGGGATGGCCATGCCACAATCCCTTCTCCTCCATTCTCCTCTCGGGATCTTGGGCACGCACACACGCACCTGGCATGAGTTTAATCCACCGGGTCCGGGACTTGAACCGCAGTCGACTACATGGGAGTCCAGTGACGTAGCCATTACGCTAACTGCTGGTCCCAACAGTTCAAACTTTTTGAGCATGGCATTTGAAGTTTTCCAGCACCTTCACCTTTTCAGCCCCAGAATTTCCTCTTCCTCCATGGACTTCTGGCATTCCACTTACATAGGGGTAATAACCTTTCCTAAAACATGCCAAGCATTCCCACTTTTCTGTTGCATATTCTGTCAAACCCCTCATCTTACAAGTACCAGCTTATGCCTCTCTCCTCAGTCCCTCACCTCCAACCTTTACACACATCCACTTGATTGAGGCTCTTCCTTCCCACTCCACTTTGCCTTCATTTCCTTGGCTCTTTTTATAACATTTGCTTCTGTGATTGGTTTTCTCAGTAACTGTAAGGTCTCTGAGGGTAATAAGTATAGCTTATTAGTTTTTATTTATTTTTTTAAATTCTCTCCTTCCCCTCTGAGTAGAAAAACAGCTCCTTAAACATAGTGAGGACTCAAAAATATTGAAATATTTAAGAGGGAACAGAAGATGGCGTAATAGTTATGTCACTGGACTCCTACATAGTCAACTGCAGTTCAAGTCCCAGACCCAGCAGCTTAAAACTCATGTCGGCACATGTGCATGTGTACCCGAAATTCTGAGAGGAGAATGGAGGAAAAGGGATTGCTGCATGGCCATCTCTGCTGGGGGGTGAGTTCTCACTTTCTTTCTGTCTTTCTGTCTCTCTGGTGAGTGCACTTGCCCTATAGCAAAAATCTCTCCAAAAAGGAAAAGGAAAGAAACACTTAAGAGTTAACTGTATTTTTCATGGGGAAATCATTGTTGCTAATTGTAGAATATAATTATATGTAGTGCAATTTCAGTTGCCCACATACAAATTTTCTATCATTGTTTTTGCACTCTTGGCTGTTTCTGTTTTTTCCACCTGCAGATGATTGGAAAAGAAGCAAACTGATTTAAACACTTCAAGCAAAACGTTGGGTCATTGGAAAAGTCATGATACGTTTTTGCCTAAAAAAAAGAGAAAAATATGTCATGACTTTTCTGGCAATTCAATATAATTAGTGAGGTAATATGCTTCTTAAAAAGTTATGATTAAAAGAAGAAAAAAAGTTATATTATACCTTTAAAAATTCAGATTATCTGATTCATTAAAACTTTATTCATCTAACACACACTTTTTTTGTTTCTTAGGGTTTTTAGCATAGGGTGCTTGTGTTTGCTGGAAAGAGACAGAGACAGTGACAGGGAAAGTGAGAAATCAGCCCCCAAGGGGGGAAAGCCATCCTACAATTCCTTCTCTTCTGTTCTGCTCCTGGGATTTGGGGTACACATGTACACATGCCCAGTGTGATTTTTAACCGCCAGGTCTGGGACTTGAACTGTGGTCAGCCATATGGGAGTCCAGTGCCTTAACCACTGCCAAGTGCTGGCCCCCAACACACAGTTTTTGAAGACTGATCTCCCACTTACCAGTTCCCTCTTTGTTCAGTCTTTCTTGGCCACTATCCAACCATTGGTTTTAACTGAAAACCCCACGGCAATCTGTTTTTCCTCTTTCTGATTATTTTTCAAATCTGTCTCCTTCTCTTGGCCCTTCCCTTTTTCATTCAGACCCTCACCACTTTTGACCTGTCCTGCGACCCTGTTTCCAGTCCCTCTTCCCTCCAATTTCCATTTGTTCCCTCTAATGCTGCTAAGGTTACCTTTTAAAGCAGATGTGATCTTCATGGCTAAAAGATCTTTGAAGTTTAAGAACTCAGGGGAACCTATGCTTTGCATTTTCTATTAGGCTCAGAGGCTCAAGTCCAAAACCCATACATGACCTGGTTTCTGCCAAATTTTCTCAAGTTGGTTTCCTCCCACTCCCTTTTAGGTACTGTTTTAGCTGCCCCACATGTCTTTGTTCCCTAACATGCCTCTCTACCTGAGCTACTCGGTTCTGGCACATACCCACATTTCCCTAGTTAGACCTTGAGTTGCTCAAAGACAGGAGAAATGTCTTACTAATTTTTGGGTTCTCAGGGCCTAGCACAGTGTGTTAGCAAGTTAGTAAATGCTCATTATATATTTTTTGAATGCACACCTCAATGTGTTCTTTTTTTTTTTTATTTTAGGAGAAGTTTTTGCTGTAGGGCACGTGCACTTGCCAGACAGACAGAGAGAGACAGAGAGACAGAAAGTGACAAAACACTCTCCAGGGGTGATGGCCACGCCTGCAATCCCTTCTCCTCCATTCTCTTGGGATCTTGGGCACGCATGCACATGCACCCGGTGTGAGATTAAGCCACCGGGTCTGGGACTCGAGCCATGGTCGACTACATGGGAGTCCAGCGACATAGCCATTACGCTAACTGCTGGTCCCGCCTTGTATTTCTTATGCTCGCAGTAATTTTGATCTGTCTTGAAATGTATAGACTTCTTTTTTTTCGTTTGCTATGGAGTGTGTACTTGAGGAAGGGAGGGAATGGGAGAGAAAGAGTGACAGGGAAAGTGGAAAAGCACTCTCCAGGGAGGATGATCACATTACAATCCCTGCTCCTCCATTCTCTTGGGATTTTAGACATGTGCACACATGTGCCCAGGGTATTTTTCAAACTGCCGGTTCTGGGACTCGAACTACACAATTGGCCACATGGGGCCCTGTCACTTTAACCTCCACACCACCTGCTGGCCCCAAAATGTATACACTTTTTTTTCTTTTTTTGGAGAGGTTTTTGCTATAGGGCACATGCGTTCGCCAGAAAGACAGAGAGACATAGAGATAGAAAGCAAGAAATCACCCCCCAGGGGGGATGGCCACAACACAGTCCCTTCTCCTCCATTCTCCTCTTGGGATCTTGGGCATGCACGCACACATGCCTGGCATGAGTTCAAGCCACCAGGTTCGGGACGTGAACTGTGGTTGACTACATGGGAGTCCAGCGACATAGCCATTACGCTAACCGCTGGTCTCAAAATGTATACACTTTCGACAAGTGTAATTTTCAATCAAGATCCAATAGGATTTCTTTTAAACTTGAATTTAACTGATACCATTACTGGCAAGCATTAGGCACTCAATACATATTTTTGGTATTTCAACATGACTTAATGTATATAAATAATTAATCAGAAACATTAAAGCAAAGTTGACCTGTATATTTTAAATTTCAGTTGTCATCGCCTTCTCCCATACGTACTTCCCTCAGCCGCCTTCATCAAATCAAGCAGGTAAGACTTTCAAACCTAACAGCTATTCATTTTAAAAAAGGAAATTATCTCTTTTTTTTTAAACGTATCTGTTTCAGTAATTCTAAGCAAGGTCACACGTACTTATGTTTTTAATTCCAGGAGTGATTACTTAAAAAAAAAAAAAAATGAACAACTCATCCAGTAATTTGGTTGTTAACTATTTCAAGAAATTGATCATTTCCAGAAATATTGCCTTTTCATGTACTTCGAATCTAGCTTCTTTCTTCCAAGACTCTCAAAGAAGAATGCTATATATAAAAATTAATTTTCAGGTTCACAATAAACACAGTTTTCATTTTTTTATACTCTCAGATGAAGGTTTATTCATTTATTTATTTTTGGACAGATAGGATTGTCTTTACACTGTCATTCTTTGTTCTCTTCTTGGTGATCTGAGTTCAGGACACACTGTACCTCAGTTTATGTTTTGTAGGTGTATGTGTGTGTACTTGTGTGTGCGCACTTAGTAGCGCAAACCTAACTCAGAACCAAATCTTTTAATTATCCAAGGATTAGCCACAGAACTCCAAAGATCAAATCACCACTCCACCACAGGTGGTAGAAGGTTTTTGATCAGCTACAAGCACTTTTTTCAAGGGGAAGGGAGGTGCTTAACTGTTATGAAGCACTTATATTATTCACTTAGCACTGAATAGGTACATTGCATTGTGCTCTCATGTCATCTCATAACCTTATAAGGTCAGAGATGACAGGAGAAATTTAGTAAGTTACCCAATGTCTAGAGCTAGTGAATGTCAGAGCCAAGATTTAGCTCCAAATTACTGA